GGGACCCAGCGTTAATTCTCTCTCTGAGTATGTGGATGTACAGACTTCTAGGCAGCTGCATATACTAAGCTCAGGGCCTGTGAGGGCCAAGGGACTCTGATTATGGGAATGTGGACTAATGGGGATGTTTCACTTACCTTTTTCTTACAGTGGTAGTCTCTTTTGGATTTGAGACAATTTTGATTGGTTGTTTCACTTTCCTTTCTGCTACCATTTTTAGTTTCCATGTCTTCTAGGATCCCTGTCACCTCCCTGCTCAATTTCAGTGTTATCCCTTAGATACTTTATTCAGTGTGTGTTTATCCACTTGCTGTTTGGGTCCTTTTTGGTGGATGAGTGCTGGATATCTCTAATCAGCCATGTTGAAGACGTCTTTAATCTCCCCTTTTCTTTTAAAGGATAATTTTCTACGGTAAAAAATTCTAAGTAGTACTTCCCCCTCTCCCCCCCACTAAATATTTCACACCATTCTCCATAATCTCACAGTTTTGGAGGAGAAGTTGGATGTAATTCTTAATTATTTTTTCTGTAGGTAAGTTGACTTTTTCCATACTTATAACTATTTCTTCATTTGTGTAGTTTATCAATAAACTCATCAATAACATTCTTAATTTCCATTACAAAGTTTTTCATCTCTACTGGTTTTTTTTGTTCTTTTTAAAGATTTCTATCCCTCTGCATTATCCCATCATATTCATTGTTATCCTTAGCATATTAATTATATAATATAGTAGTTGTTGTGAATTACTGGTCTGATAATTCCATTATCCCTTCCATTTGTGGTTCTGATGCTTGGTCTGTATTTTTTTTTTTTTCAGTGAATATTTTGCCTTGTGGTATGCCTTATAATTTTTTGATAGAGAAATAATGACGTATTGGGTAAAGATACTGCTGTAATGGGTCTTTAATAATGTAGTAAGTTATAGGGCTAGGGGAAGTGTGATTCTATGCCTCTGGACTTTGAAATTCAAGTGTTTTTTAGCCTGTCACTCCTTAGTTAGGACAGTACAGCTAATGCTGCCTGGAGTAGCTTTATATTTCCTTTGCTCCGGGTAACATTTAAAGTCAAGGCTCTCTGTAAATAATTTCTTCTGAAAGCAGACCTTGTTAAGAAGAACAGAGTACTCTGACATACATATATTTCAAAATGGTGTCCTTTTCACCTCTGTTTGCTGGAAATATGAAGGAATTTTTCTGTGATTTCCTGTGAGAACTTGATTCAGCTCCAAGAAGTAAAAGTCACCAGATATCAGATTTTAATTAAGCTATCAGATATATTTTTAGAATGAAATATAACAAATCCAGGGCTAAAGTTTTTTGGCATAACTTTAAAATTATAGCATATCATTATTTTTCACTAAAAATTTCACTTTTACATTGTGATCATAAAAAGGACCTTTTGGAAAACTATTCAATGTTCCCAAAAACTGACTCTTAACTTTTTGATATTCAAATATTTGTCTTTTGAAACACTGATCATTTTAACATTTTTATTCTTTTCTGTGACTATAAATTATTTTCTCATCTATTCAGTTTAATGTTGAATCAGTTGATTGGAATCTCTTTGTAGTACAAACTTACTGTTTTAAAAAATTATTAATTGCTTTTGTAGGGCCATTCCTGAAATTTTATTTCATTGGATATTTAGAAACTACAGAATTTATGAATCTGGACAAAACCATGCCCTGTAACTTTTAACCAGAATAGAATGTGTTGTTACTCTGTCTTTAGCAATTTTCAAATAGTTTAAGTGCTTTGTTGTCATGTTTGTATTCATGGTATAGTATATTCAGAATTACTAATACTGAATTCCTTCCATATTTTGAACATAAATTTTGAAGACCATAATTCTCTTAGTTCAAAAAAATTCTAACTAGAGAAGGAAAAGACACTAGTGTTTTTCTGGAATTAAGAAATAGATAGGTCTTTCATACATAGTTTCTAATGATCTTATGGAATGATTCATAATAATAGAACTTATATTTTATCAAAAATCATACTGATTATACCTCCTGCTACATTATAAGTAAGTTAGAAAATGAATGTGAAGTGCTTAGCATACAGCGAATGTCAAACATTACCTTGCCTTGATTCTAGACCAGAAAGATGAATATGAACATATAAAAAAGAAAATGCTTAATTGTTAGCTAAGAACCTTGCTAAAATTCTATTTTACAAATATTTCTACGTGTACTGAATTTGGATGCTGATACTTGCTGAACGTAGACCAACCATGATTCTCTTATGTAAAATAATGTAAAGGTAGAACTAATTATGTAGTTTTGAAGTGTGTGTGTGTGTGTGTGTATTTTAGCTTGTATCAAATTTCTTTAGTAAAATTTTTTCAGGTAAAAATCTTTAAAGTTAATCTAATATATAAAACAAATAAAAAACAGAGCTCTGTATTTGTAAGGAAGAAAGGGATGTTCATCCTCTACAGCATCCAGAGATAATATGAAACTCAATTTTCTAACCACTTGACTACAAGATCCAGTGTGCTTTTTTCAAGTTAAAAAATATTATATTTTGAACCTGCCACCTCTGGCATATGGGGCTGGCGCCCTACTCCTTTGAGCCACATTGCTGCCCTACTTGTATTTGTTTTAAGGTTATACAAATCCATATGAAGAGAAATATGTAAGAACCATGGTCATTATGGGCTAGTGGCAAAAGTTACAGGGTATGGTTTTGTCCAATACAGCTGTGTATTAGCTATAAACTTTCAAGCAGGATACTTAATCTCCCCCATCCTCAGTGTGTTCATCTGTAAAATAGGAATATACACACTATTACTGAATGATTGTATAAAGATTAAGTGAGGCAGTGAATGTGAAATGTGTAGTGCATGATGAATGTCAACTTTTATCTTGATTATACTTCAAAAAGATAAACATTTATAGAAAATGCAAATAAAGAGCTGTGACTTCAGCTAAAGAATCTAGTACACAATATTTCTAAGATATTTTCCTTTCTTCTCCTCATGTTAATTATTATATCAACATAAATCAGATGGAGATCCATGTTTATAATTTTCATATTTAAACCAGGTAGTTTAACTACGTGTTTCTTTTGTAATTTCTCCTGTTTTATCTGACTTTTATGATGACGTACTGAGGAATTTTCATTAATTAGTGGAAAAAAGACCATAGTAATTCTTCCAGATGTCATATACTAGAAGGAAAAAAACAGAAAAACATGATGGCCCCAAAATGATTGATTTTGATGTGATTTACACATGAACAGATATTCACCAGCTTCTTAAAATGTAGCCATCTTCTTATTTATGATTCAAAAACAAAATTTGTTGCATTGATATAAAAAGAAACTGACTTAAAAAGAACAAACATATTTATTAGGCAGCCAAAGTTTCAGGCTTTTTGTTAAGAGAGTTCTAGCTTGGTTTTTAACTTCAAATTTAGGTGGTAGATGCATTTTTAGAAAACTGTCTTCTTAGCAAAAGTTATTTCACAGATAGCTGACTAACAGTGCTTTAAAAGAGCAAAGGTTTATTCCATTTTAATTAAGCCTCTAAAATGTACAGGCTCTTGAAGTTTATAAATGATCGCTCCTATTTGCCAAAATGAGAAAGACATATTATTAGAACGAATTTTATGATACAATATACCTTCAATTTTAGTCCAGCTCAGCTGGAAATCAACTTCTCTTATAGTGTGCCAACATTTTATTTTCTTTGCCTTTATTCAGGAAATGATAGAATAAGAGCATTTGGTTTTAAATTATGGAAAGCAGAGAATTTGTCACAGATCAACATATTGGAATATGTCTATTAAATATGGATTGAAAATTATATACTGCTTAAATTCTGAAGATTCCAAAATCACCTTTTTGGAATTAAAAAAAGATCTAAACTTTTTCAACCTTAAATGTTTTTAGTGCATTATTGTTTATATGTACTAAATCATTTCTTTTACAGGCAGAGCTTTATTTAGAGGAATTAAAGTTTATAATTTCAAGGGACTCTAATAAAGGGGAATGTAAAATACTAAAGAATACGAGGTGGATCTTTGAAAAGAAAAGGCAAATTTTTTTTGTTCTTGTTGTTTAAAAGGGTCTCTCTAAAACAAACTGAAATAGATGATAATCTATACTACTTAAGATTTAAAAATATTTTATGAGTATTTACTTTAGTTTTATTTTACCTTTGTTTTGATTCTTTTATCAAGTTATAGACTTTTAGATTCATAGTTTTTCTTCAGCGCTTTAAACATACCATTTTATTGTCTTCTGGGTTCCATAGTTTTAAAAATTAAATTTTAAGTCTTGCTTTTCTTTTGAAGGAAAGGTGTTCTTTTTCTCCCTCTAGCTATTGTTAAAACATTGTTTTCTTTGATTTTTAGTATTTTGACTGCTAGTTGTGGTTTTCTTTCACTTTTTGCAGTTCTGTTCCTTATACTTCTTAATTCATTACAGAAATTTATTAGAACAGTTTTGGGATAGTCTCAGCAATTTTTATCATTTTCTGGTAGTATTGTTTCACCCCATTCTCTCCCTCTGCTTTATTGCGACTGCAATTACATGTAAGTTAGATTGTTTTATTCTTTGATGTCTCTTATGCTCAGTTCTTCTTTTTTTTTTAATCTGCTTTAGATAAGTTTGGATGTTTTCTCAACCTTTAGGTTCACTAATCTTGTGTTTTGCTAGTGTTAGTCAGTTATAAAACTTACCCACCAAGTTAAGTTCAGATACTGTATTTTTTAGATCTAAAATTTCTGTTTAATTTTTTAATAGATTTTAATTCTTTGTTGAGATTTCCTTTTTTCTGTCTACTTTACGGAAGATCTTTACAGATCTGTTTTATTGAACTTAAACAGTTTTAACATTTGCTGCTAAATTTACCAAGCCTAGAAAACAAGCCATATGGATATTTGGAAAATAATTAAAAAACTAATTTTCATTTCAAAATTTCATTTGGTCGTTAGTATCTTAAATGAAATGCAAACAAAAATTAATTTTCTTTTCTTTCCCCCTTTCCTCTTTAGTGAGTGATAGTTGCTTCAGGAATCTTGCAGAAGATCGCAGTGGGATAAATCTCAAAGATCTTGTACAAGATCCTTCTTTGTGAGTATTTGGTCTTCAATATTGAGTATTATTTAAAATTCTATTATTGTTATTACTCTTTTCAAAAGAGTTATACCTGAAAACTAACATAAAGCAATATCTTCTTTTCTAATAATTTGTGTTACATACAATAAAGTATGATGGAACAATTTCTTTTTAGAAATAGAATAGATCATAGCAGAAGGATTGATGTCATTGTGAATGATTGACTTTCAATGAGCAGAGCTACTGGCTGATATCTTGATTCTGTGGCAGTAGATACTAGGCAGGGAGGATGATTAGTAGATAATTTGCTTGTGAAGGTAAGATTGAATTTATTCACATCAATTTTGAGATTTTATAAATATATTGTTTGAAACAATTATTTATAATTAGAAATATAAAATATTTATTGGTAATATATATTCAAATATATTAAATATATTTCCTAAGTCTTCTGTTAGAAAACGTAACATATGTTTTAGGCATAGGAAATTTAGGACACATTTATAGATTTCAGTTTTTACTTTTTTTTTTGCTCGAGTCAGTCTCAGTGTTCATCATCATATACGCTATTGTAATATCACTTTCTATTTCATGCAGTTATTTTTTGTAGTTTATTTACTGGCAGACAATGCATACTATTATCTATATAAGCATACCCTTCCAATAAGATCACCCTGTATTTAAAAAAATAAAAATAAAAGCTTGTTAAATGTAGGCAGCAGGGAAAAGAAAATTGATTGCTGAATAGACACTTTGTTTATTGATGTATAATGCATGCACAAAATATAATAGGAACTCAGTCCTTTGGAACACATGTAATATAACTCCTCCTACAAATTTGATTTATCATTGAGAATTTTGTGAGGAATAAAATAAAGGATATCTAAAGTTTGAAGGTTTTGATTCTTAAATGATCGAGTAGTCATTTTAAAAATACTATCCCAGGGTGGTGCCTCTGGCTCAAAGGAGTAGGGTGCCAGCCCCATATACTGGAGCTGGTGGGTTCAAACCCACCCACCCCCCCCAAATACTGTCACAAAAGAGTGTTGAAAATATATTGAATATAGAAGTTTATAATGTAATGAGTTCAGGGTGAGTTTTCAAACCTACTTTCTTCAGTTCTTTTTTTTTTTCTCTATCATTTCCTCAACTCAAAAGGAATGCCAAAGTTCTTTCTCTTTGATTTTTATTTCTATGAAAATTGACAGTTGTCTTGAATATAATTATTCTATGTAGATGTAAATAAACCTAGGAAATGAATTTTGAAAAATTTTTATTTGCCTGAAGAGTTCTATTTTTCTCATGGATATGTAAGGAAACTTTATGATTTCTTCAAAAGATTTCACTCATTTGAATTAATAAAATATATTTTTGGTATGATGAGTTCATATATCTATTTAATGCAATAATATAATGAAAAGCATATAACAGACTTCAGAGATACAAAAGCTATGAAGAATTACACTAGAATAATGGATTATAATAATTAATTGTCATGTTTTGAGAGAATTTGTTACTTTTTTCCAGAATGTGAAATAATATTCATCATTCAGTGTGCCATTAAATTCTATATTTAATCTTAATATTATAAAAAAATTTATCTAAATTTATATAAAAATATTATAAAAAAATTTAGACCACTTCTTTGGATAGACAAAATCATTCTCAGAGTACCTGTTTAAAAAAAGCCAGGTGTCTTAATTTAGCATCAGGTCTTTAACTAGGCTTTAGCTTCTAGGCACTAATTGTATGTAAGAATGTTAGCATTCATGAAGAAAGATCATGCCCCTGTCTACTTGGATTTGGAAAGGGCTTATTCAAATTGTCAGGATATATTAATAAAGTCTCAAATTTATGTTTTAGAGATATGTTTTTTATCTGGTAAAGTCCTTTAGAAAAAGAAATTCCCGGGCGGTGCCTGTGGCTCAGTGAGTAGGGCACCAGCCCCATATACTGAGGGTGGCGGGTTCTGGCCTAGCCCCAGCCAAACCACAACAAAAAAATAGCCAGGCATTGTGGCTAGCACCTGTAGTCCCAGCTACTTGGGAGGCTGAAGCAAGAGAATCACCTAAGCCCAGGAATTGGAGGTTAATGTGAGCTATGTGATGCTGCCACAGCACTCTATCAAGGATGATAAAGTGAGACTCTGTCTCTTAAAAAAAAAAAAGAAAGAGAGAAAAGGAAATTCCCAGTGTGAAATAAATTAATGTATTTCTTTCAGCTGTGATGGGAAAGATTTTATTCTGAATTCCTTTCTGATTGTATATCCATTTACTACATACGTGATAGGTGAAAATTGTTTTGTTTGGTTTATTTTTAAAGCTAGATGCCTCTTTCATTGCTCAGACTCTTAACGTAAATTTGTATTACTTTTCATTGATTCCTATACACTATAAGGAACTGGATTATTTGGCAACAATGAATAGCAAATATGTTGGAAAACCCTCTTTTTTTACAAAATGTCCCTCAAAAAAAACATTGTCATTTTACGAGCACTTCAGACTAGTGTAGTGGTTATTAAAATTGTATATACTTGTGTATATATGTTATTTTTACATATGTCTCAAATGAGAAATATTATAACAAGATGTGTATTGAATAAAAGCTTTGTATGTTAATGTGCCTAGCCCACTTTAGCTATTGGTACTAATGACTTGATGGCAAATGTTTATTTCAACCACCAGTACTGTTAGAAAAGAAGCCTATAAAAGAAGAAAAAGTAGGCTGAAGAAAACTCAGGCTTATCTGGATATTGACTGTTCTTTATCCTGATCAGATAAAGAATTTTTGTATACGGCTTGGTGTCTGTGGCTCAAGTGGCTGAGGCGCCAGCCACTTACACCGAAGGTGGCGAGTTCCAATCCAGCCCGGGCTTGCCAAACAACAATGATGGCTGCAACCAAAAAACAGCCAGGCGTGTGGCGGGCGCCTGTGGTCCCAGCTACTTGGGAGGCTGAGGCAGGAGATTCACTTGAGTCCAGGAGTTAGAAGTTTCTGTCAGCTGTGATGCCACAGCACTCTACCCAGGGGGACAGCTAGAGGCTCTGTCTCAGGAAAAAAAAAAAAAAAAACTTAAAAAAAAAGAATTTTTGTATATAAAATTTAGAAGTAAAACTGAATCAAATCTATGTAGAAAAGATCTTTAACCCAAGCAGTCAGCCGTTGATGAGTGGCTTCCTGCCTCAGAGATATCAAAAAAGCAGAACCTATCCTAACCTATCCTAATTCATATTCTAAATTGGTGTCAAGCTAATGAAATAGTATGATAGGTATTCTGTAATTTACCTAAACTGTGAAGTACATACTCCAGTATTTTACTGCCAAAAACATTTACTAGACTTGCATGAACCGAGTATTATGTAAACATGATGGAGGAGTGATGCCTTGGGAGAAAAAAAATGTAAGAAAGTTGTGAATCTCTAAGCAAGTTCTTAATAACTTTAAGCAAGTTATTAAGATAATAATAATCTCTAAGCAAGTTCTTAATAACTTTAATCTGTTTTAATAATAGAAGCTGAATGTGACTTGTGGCAAGATTGAAGTTAAAGGGATTGACAAGGTAGTACTCTGAGTTTGTGTCGCAGTCCCCAAGGTATTAAGTGCAAGACCAAGTGAAGGAACTTGACATTCACTTTTTGTTGATTTAATGTACCTAAGCATTTGTTTAAATTTGTAACTTGCTTGCGTGTGTGCTAAATTTTGAAATAAACAACTGTTTCAGTAGCTTATCTTCTATTTACAGTTGTAAAATTTTAATCTTGATTTCTTTCTCTATATGTATTAATATAATTTGTTTATTTGAGTTGTGTTATGAGAACCCTGTTGCAGTTGTGGTCTCAGTAGCACAATGAAAGTGTTATCAAGCTTAACATGCTGTTATCACTATACTGGAAACTTATCTAATATGCCACATAATTTTCATACATAAAAGGAGTTATTTTAGTGTGATAATTTTTTTTTCTTTATGTGGAGAAATTCATACTGTTTAACTTACAAAAATTATGTGATGCTTCTTCTGGAGATGAGTATTATTTATGAAGGAGGCATTGTATATAAAGAAATTAATTTTAGCATATATTCAGTTATGTTCAGAGCTAATTTTTAAAAATACTTCAAATCTCTGTTGACTACGTACTAAAGATATGAAATAAAATGTATTCCCATATAATGTCCACAAGTCAGTAGCCTTTGTATATGCTAGTAACAGCCAAAATGAGAGGCTAATTAATGACACAACTCTCTTTACCATAGCTTCAAAGAAAATGAAATACCTAGGAATATGTCTAACAAAGAGGTGAAGGACCTCTATAAAGAAAATTATTCAAGACTTGGAAAAAAATGATTCTGCGTTTTGTATGGAACCAGAAAAAAACCCGTATAGCTAAGGCAGTTCTTAGTAATAAAAACAAAGCCGGGACATCAGCATACCAGATTTTAGGCTGTACTATAAAGCCATACTGGCCAAGACAGCATGGTCTGGCACAAAAACAGAGACAAACACATTTTGAATCGAATAGAAAACCAGGAGATGAAACTAACATCTTGCAACCACCTAATCTTTGATAAAACAAACAAGAACATACACTGAGGGAAAGACTCCCTATTCAATAAATGGTGCTGGGAGAACTGGATGTCCACATGTAAAAGACTGAAACTGGACCCAAACCTTTCTCCACTCACAAAAATTGATTGGTTAAAAAAAGATAGATAAAGGACTTAAATTTAAGGCATAAAACAATAAAAATCCTCAAAGAAAGCATAGGAAAAACACTGGAAGATATCAGCCTGGGGAAAGATTTCACGAAGAAGACTCTGTGGCAACTGCAACAAGAAAAATAAACAAATAGGTCTTAATTAAACTGAAAAGCTTCTGTACAGCTAACGAGACAACAACCAAAGCACATAGACAACCTACACAATGGGAAAGGATATTTGCACATTTTGAATCAGATAAAAGCTTGATAACTAGGTTCTATAGAGAACTCAGATTAATCCACATGAAAAGCCAATAATCC